GCCTGAAATATAATCCTAAAAATTTTTTGAAGCATTTTTTTGAGCCATAGCAACAGAAAACCTGATTTTGAGGAAAAACGCCTTACAATTTTGAGATTTTCCCTGTGAGCTAGCAATGTTTTTGTTTCTTTCCAACTGGGAAATCTTAATATACAAATATTTGAGGTTTACTTTTATATTAGCATCAAAAATTACTCAATAAATGTTTGTAAAATTAGGATTCAGACTAAACAGTAATGTATTATCATAACCAACAAGACAAAGTAAGTCTTATCTCTGGATGAGCTGATGATATCAGGATGATCCAGGTATCAAAATGCAGCTTTTAAAGCAGGAATCTGAAAATGTAATTAGGTCATTTTAATCAAATTTGACTTAATCCTCATGTCGATATGAGGGGTCACTATTCTGACATCCTATTAGATTGAATGCACTCCATCACACCTGTATGACATAAATCACATCACATTACAGCAAGACATACTGTAGCAGATGCATGTAGCCTAGAATGAAGACACTTAAAGTGTTGTTCACTACTTTTACTTTATACTTTATATTTTAAGTAGTTTTAAAACCTTYCTTTTGTACTTTTACCTGCGTACAAAGCTTGAGTTGATACTTCTAATTCCAAAACAGTATTTTAAACCCTTGTATCTACACTTCTACTTAAGCAACACCTCTGGCTAGCACCTGAAGTTATAATGCTTTTGTGAACAGGAAGTAGAACGTTACTACTTAAACATTTGACAAAACAGAAGTCTAATAATTTGGTTCAATAGTTATTAGGGCTGGGCAATAAATCAATAATGTGATAGACACATYATCAATATCAAAAGAAAATGTGTCCAGTAGAATTATGATAATTGCGTTGAACTCCAATTCAGAACAGTACAACATTCTGGGGGATGTAGGCAGAGGAAAAGCTTTAGCTGCTCCACCTCTCACAGCCCAGCTAACAAGGTTGGAGACATCGATTTACTCTTTGGTAAGCTAGCAACAACCTGTTGAGTAACATGCWGCAGAAGTTTCATGTTTTGCCACCGTGCCTCAGAACTGCTGAAAAATAAAAAGAATGACGTGGAATGAAAGGACAAAATGGAAAAAACCAGCACGGGAGGAAATTGTAGATAAAAGAGGAATGATGACGTCACCAGTTTGGCAGCTTTATTCAGCCTTGTTTCTCTTGGTCCTTACTTCAAATAAATAAAACAAAAACCTAATCAATAATTTTCGATATGAACTGACATGAAACTCTTATATAGAGAAACATTTTTCAGCTTTGTCGTCCAGCCCTATTAGCAAGAATAGCAATAGTTGTGTAATTAGGAGAGATGGGTAGAGTACCCAAAAGTTGTACCTGAGTAAGGGTAAAAAAGTATTTCATTAAAAGGCTATTTGAGTACTGAGTAACTGATCATAGCATCCAATTTAATATTTTAAAATGAGGTCATCAGACTGACAAAACATAGCAAGTTATGTGCAAATTGTGGTGTTTTTAAAGACTAAAATGTAGAAAATCATAGGTAATGTGTGTATGTATGTATGTATGTATGTATGTATGTATGTATGTATGTATGTATGTATGTATGTATGTATGTATGTATGTATGTATGTATGTATGTATGTA